CAAAAAATAAACTACATAAACTTGTGGTTTTGCACTAACATCATTGTTTAATTTAGACCAATTTAAGATAGAGTTGTATAGAGAAATAGTATAACCAATATTTTAAAGTTTTTTTCACAGTTTTGAAAAGATACACTTGAGGTAAAAAGCATGTTCTTTGGAGTTTAATTTTATCACTCAATTCAAAAAAAAAAAATTACACCAGTTTTAAGAATTTTAAATCAGTTTGAGTTGAATAAATCAGATTATAAAGAATCAATTTGGCTATAGCCTATTAACTGCTTAGGCGGACGGCTAAATGCACGTAAACCAAATTTTAGAACATTGTTTACAATGGTGATTTATTATTATTATTTTTATACAATATAAATTGGGTGGGGTGGGGGGGGGGTTAACTTTTATAGATCTTTACTAGGCCTAGGCATTCGGTTATTCGGTTTGATTTCGGATAGGAACCATTCGCTTTCGAGTATATCGGTTAAATCATTCTTATACTGAATAGGTATTTATGAGATTTTGGTTTGGGCTCGTTTCGGTTTGGTTACAGGTACCTATTTAATATGTAAATCAAATATATATATACAAAATATATCAGTTTATATTAATTTAAATGATCTAGTGTTTACATGCTTACATATTCGTTAATCCAACAAGAGTTCGAGTCAATAAAATGTTAATTCTATAAATATTTACTATATTTTAATATAGATATATCATATATATATTTATAATATAAGAGAGTAGAAAAAGATAATGTGGTCTGGTGGTAATAATGTTCTCACTTTTTGCATCTAACTTGGGTTCAAGTGGGTTTGATGACATTTTACCTTATACTAAAAAGCTTAATTTTTTCGGATATTTGGATATTTGCTCGGTTCTCGGTTTGGTTCCAGTTCTGTTTTGGTTTTTTGGATATAGAAATATAATAACCATTCGGATATTTAAGAATTTTGATCCGGTTTCAGTTTAAGGTATTTCAGTTCGGTTCCGGTTTGATTTTTCGGTTCTGGTTTTTTTTGCCCAGGACTAATCTTTGCGCTCAATTTAGTCAACGTCTTAAACATCTTTTTCTCTTTGAGAAATCTCTGCACCTTATATTTCACACCACAGTAGGAAATCTTACAAATTAATACTCGATAAATTAATAAACATGATAAATTAATAAATTTCATTACTCTCGTATTGGGCCGATTTAAACTATACAATAAAACGATAAACTAATAAGATAATAACTTTTAAAAAATTCTATGTAAATATATAGTATCAATAAAATTATAAATTAATAAGTTATTTATATAACTACAACAAAACATTGTATTGTTTTTTTTATACTACAATGGAGCATATCTCTCTTTTTTAAGCGCATCAAGATATTTTTAAAATATTTAGTAAATTTATAACTAAAACTCTTCTAAATTATGTCCTACATATCTCATATACACAAAATAATATAATTAAAACAGTACAAAAGTCAAATTTATAAAATTTGATTAATTTAAAACTGTATAATTAACTATTTTCTTATTTTACAAAAGAAAATATATTTTATAATATGGAGATCTCAAAAAGGATACTTATTTTAAATTAATAAATTCATATTAATAAAATATCGGTCTCAATATTATTAATTTAAAGAATGTTTACTGTACGTTCAATCGCATAACATTTCATGTATCAATTGTTCCTATCTAATGTTGATTCATTTTTATTTTGTATTATATTATGGAGGAAACTCATTTACAAATTTTTGTACATCATCATTTTCTAAGAAAAAAATTCAATTAAAAAATTCACATCCGAGAATGATATTTCCAGTAATGATATTTTCTTGTTCTGTTTTTGAGTGTTGTCAATAATTTATCTTTATTATTGATTATGTATTTAATTGATGATTATTTTAAAAGTAAAGATTTTTTTTTCAAGTGTAAATATATATGACTATTTGTAAATACACTTTATTATTATCAAATAATTAAAATTTTCTCTAGAAATTTTGATTTCTCGCGCGAATACGCAGATTTGTTTCCTAGTTATCTTGACACCGCCACCATCTTATCCTTGTTATCATATTTATTTTCTTTACTATTTATTTAGTCATTATGATCTTGTTATATGATTACTTACAATGGAAATGTTGAATAGTTATTTTACCTGTTGAATGTTTATAGTAGACCTGCTTAAAAAATAAAAAAAAATTACGTGGATTGTTTGCTGTTGAATTTATTCAACATGTTGAAAGCCAAAAAGTAGGGTTCACAACAGTTTTTGTTGCTTACTTATTGGCTTTTGATATTAATTAGAATTTTCATATTCATCTTCCACATTATAAATCATTTATTTTACAGCAAATTAATTAATTTATTTTATTACATTATATCAAAATTTATAAGTTTTGATGATCTGTAAATACAGACTAGTTTTATATGATCTGGAAATATATAAAAATTTCTTTTAACATAAGTTTTAAACATTTTTAGTCAAATTCTATTATATGTTTTTATTAAATATGTCAAAAAATTTCAATTCTAACTATTTTATTAATTTTATAGTTATTTTATTTTATTTTTAAAAAGATATTTATGCTGTAACTGTTATTATTTTGTAACAAAATCATAATATGAAATAAACATAAATAGATAAGGTGCTCCTTTTGAAATAAAATCATTATGAAATATAAATATTAGATGCATATGGAAGAAAGAGAAGAAGATGATGTGTTAAAGTAAAAATGTAAAATATGGTGTTGGAAAAAATGAACCAATGTACATAGTCTAACGTTTTTTCTTAACACCACATCGTACCATTGTTATCATCATTAAAACGCTAATTACAAAAAAAAAAGTTTGATACAAAAACATCATTTTATAGATTTCCGCTAAGAAGTGATTATATAATTTCCATTCCATACAAAACTCGTTCTTTCATGAGCGACTTATTTTTGGGTTCATTTTTCTATGGTGAATCTCTAGGTTTACCTTTCAATAATATGATGTTATTTCATATTTGATATCTTTTAAAAAAGGAAACAAAATTTTGTCAAGTTATATTATGTTTTTAAAATAAAAATAGAAAAAATAAATAAAAATATTAATATTTACAAAAAACGAAAAAAAATCTTTTAAAAAATATTCTAACATTTTATTATGTTTTAAAATAAAAGATAAAAAGAAAATAAAAACAGTAATAACTGCAAAAAACAATTTAAAACAAAAAAAATATTTTAATATATCTTTAAAATAAAAACATGTGTTTAAAATCAAAAAATAAAAAATAAATAAAAAATAGTATAATTGGTTAGTATTAATTTACCCAAGGGTTAAGATTTTCCCAAAGATTTTATGATTTACCCAAGGGTTAGAGTTTAGGATTAAGGTTTAGGGTTTAGGATTAGAGTTTAGTGTTTTGGTGTTAAATATTTTCTTAAAAAGTTTTTTTTTGTTTTTTTTAAATATTATTATTTTTTATTTATTTTTTGTCTTTTTATTTTAAAAACATAATATAACTTAACAAAATTTTATTTCCCTTAAAAAATATTAAATATGAAATAACACCATCCTATTGGTTAATAACCTAGAGGTTCTCCCTAGAGGATGAATCTAAGAATAACCCATGGGCGGGATATCTACAATTAATTTCCTACCTTTAGTTACTCATGTACGTCTTCTATTATTTTTGATTTTTCAGTAGGGCAGACAAAAATTAAAGGGTATCAACTTTGAAGCGATGAAGAGTTAAAATAAAGGGAGAATTTGAAAGATACACTGTACATGAATTTAAATTTGAAAACTACATTGGCTTTATTTTGTTTTGAAAACTACACTTTGATGTACGTGATAAGACATTTTTGGCCAAATCTAAATTAAATATTATATTCTAATAATTAAAAATTATGTACAAAAGTCACTTTATTTATTTAATATTTAAGGATAAATCTTTACTGATATTTTAAAGTTATCTTTACACATAAATTTTATAAATCTTATATACAGCATAGATTTACGTAACAAAATTATCACTTTCTCTAATAGTACAAAATTTTACATATGATTTTTTTTTGATCTGTTGAACGAGATAGAACGAAAAACGTAAATCCCGGATGATATAACTAATTTCAACTGAGAGATAAAATATGCACAATGTATCAAACTTATAGTATATTTCAGAATATTGCCAAAAGCTTAGGACTCTTATCACGCATAATCTAAAACAAATTGTATCTAGCCATCGTCTTTCACATATCAAAAGATAGCTGCAACGTCAAGACAAGTAAGTAATTACTATGTTTATTAAAGAAGTTAATTTTTATAAACTAAATACAAAACAATTATAAGTCCAAAAATATTAATCATAGTTCAAATATTAAAAAAATAGCAAAAAAAAAAAGAATTGTTATGGTTGTTGATTACGAATATTTTCCATCTAGCTAAAATTTAATTTAATTGTTAATTTAAATAGTAATTTTTAACATCAACTATTTATCAATTGTAATTAGGATAACTTAGTCATTTTACTTAAGAGAAAGTGTAGTTTTCAAAGGAATAAAAACACATTGTATTTTTCAAAATAAATTCTTTTTCTAAGGTATTTTTCAAAATTTTCCCTAAAAAATATATCCAAGTGAAAAAATAGAAATTATAAGCAAAAGGATTGCCGATATATTTTATTCATTTATAGTTGCCGTATTATCTTGTTTCAGTTGCTTGACTGAATGATTTATCCAATTTGAGAACATAACGTAAAAATCCACAAATATTATTTATATAAGATGTTGAGCTGAATTTACCAATACGTCAGGTTAAATACTTTCAAAGTTCAGGTATCTAATTTATACGAAACCGATTTCGCATTTAATTATTTCATAGTAACGATTGACAAAATTCACAAGTATTGAAAGTAAGGTAAAAATGTGTTTAAGTGTAACTATATATATAGGCCATGATGTTGTGAACACAAACTCTGTACAGTGCAAAAAACAAAACATATTACAAATCAAAGAAAAAATGAATTGCGCTACTAAGTTTCTTGTGATGATCTTGTTCATTGGAGTTGCTTGTGCTGACGTAGACGCAAGGAAGCTCGCAAAAGTGTCCAAAGAATTGATGGATCAGAAACCCTTTTTGCTTCAGCCGATGCCATTGACGGTACCTGAATCAGGTGAAATAGTCTCTGCAGCAAAAGGAGTTGAGAATGAAGTAGTTACAGTGTCCAAAGGCACAAAATTAGAAATATCTATTCCCAAAAATGTCGCTACCAACGGCATTGGATCTGAGCTGGTCCTTACTGTTAGAAGTAGCGCCACCAGAGTGATATCTGCCAATGATAATGCTGCTGAGGGTCCTGGCGGTCCCCGTTCTGGTGCAACTGGAAGAACCACTGTAAGTACCTATGGGATTGTTGTTGCCGATGGTCCTAACCCAAGCGCTTATTCTACCAGTATCGCTGGCCGTCAAGCTGATGCCGATGCTGAAGCGGGTCCCGGTAGTGCTACAGGCAGTGGATCCAGTTCCGGATATGCCTACACAATTTCGGGTGGCAGCATTGGCAACGGTAGATCTTGAACAATTAATAATACTATGCAAAATCAACAATCTCTTTTGTATTCATAAATAAAACTAGAGATTGTCGCCTCTATCCATTATGATGTAATGTTACTGTGTAAATGTCTATCGTATATGGTATAAATGCAATACGACCTAACTAGTCTCCGCTCTAATAAAATATCAAAGTTTCTTCAAAGCTTAAATGGAATGCACCTATTAAAAATTATAATATACGTATGTGTTTAATGGTTATCGATGCATGACGAAATATACATTTTCTCTTGTTTCCAATTAGTTTCGGAACGCATGTTCTGTGTATATATGAATGTACCTATAGTTTAGATCTATGCTGCCTGTTTTTACATGCAACAAATTATTGGAATATTTCCATATCTTTAGCATATCGTATAGCTTGTGTATATTCTCGTAGGTTTAGGTTTACCTTTTCTATATGATTGGTACATGTATAAATATAAGGTCTAAGGATCAAAGGCAATACAAGAGAATATATTTTATCGATGTTAGTTTGTCATGATATCAGAGCCTAAGATCTGACAGATCTAAGTTCTTTATCAACGAAGCTTGCGTCTCCAACAAGTTTTCTGTGTCTCTTTACTACCTCTGTTTTTCTTCTATCAAAACAGAGTATCTCAGTAAACCAAACCCTAGTTTTTGTTTCACGAAACTCAGACAACACAATGTCAATTGTTACCGCATATCTGAAGTACAAGACCATCTCACCATATGATCTATCATCAAACGATAACCATGGTGCTGTGATTTCTCAGCCTCAACTCACCGGGTTAAACTATGATGAGTGGGCCATTAATTTCCGAATGGCTCTTAGTTCTAGAAAGAAGTTTGGATTCCTTGATGGCAGTATTCCGAAACCAGAAGCTGGATCTTCTTACTTTAAAGATTGGGTGGCCAACAACCATCTCATAGTTGGTTGGATCAAACTGACCATTGAGCCAAAGATTCGGTCGACGATTTGAACTCGGGAAGTCGCTAAAGAGCTCTGGGATATCATCAAGAAGAGATTCTCAATCAAGAGTGGTGCTCGTCTCCAGCAGCTCTGGAACTCCTTAGCGACCTGCAAGCAAAACAAATCAACGGTGGATGATAACTTTGGACGTTTAACGAAGATTTGGGATGGGATTTCCGAGTGTATGGAAACCAAACGGTGTGTATGTAGTAAGTGTGAGTGCGATCTGAATGCAGCTCATGACAAGGAAAGAGAGATTCTGAGAGTTCATGATGTTCTCGCTGGCTTAGATGATTTAGTTCATGGGGTTGTTCGATCCCAGCTCTGTGCAATAACGCCTCTTCCAGATTTGGATATTGTCTATCAAACGATACTGCAGAATGAAACAATCCGTCAGAATGTAACATCTGAAGCTCCAGTGATGAGTTTTGCTACTCAAGTTCCACCTGCGAATGGCTCTCGCTCTTCGTCTCCAGGTGGATACCGTGGTGGTTCGAATCGAGACTACACACGAACTTGTACGACATGTGGAAAGAAAGGACATGATGCGACCTCATGTTTTAAACTGATAGGATATCCAGAATGGTGGCCTAAAGATTCTCGCAACAAGCCTCCTGGAAAGGGAAATTAACAGATTACAGCTGGTCGTGGTGGTGGCGTTGCTCCACGAGCAAACGTCACACAGATACCAAGTGCAAATCTCGCTGGCGTGGGTTCGAATGGGATGATCACATACAGCGATCGTGTAGGGTTAATGGGGCTCTCAGACGAGCAATGGAGCATTGTCCAGCGTATGATCAATGCTGGTAAAATCAAGCACGCCACATGGAGGTAATATAAATAAATCTTCCTAGATCTTGGATACAGGAGCGACACATCATATGACTGGATGTGCTGATCTCCTTGTTGATGTGCACAATATAAACCCACTCTCGGTTACCTTATCGGCTGGGTCAGATACAAGTTCATCAAAACAGGGCAAAATCCATCTTACTCCACGGCTGCCATTGAAGAATGTTTATTTTGTTGAAGGATTTCATACTAACCTGATTTCTTTTGGACAACTTGTGACTGGCAACTTCTTGATTGGACAAGTCACTGATAAACTCGTAATTTTGCAGGACCGCACTACGAGGATGCTGATTGGAGCGGGTGAACGAGAGAGAGAGGGACTCTACCGGTTTCGTGGGATTGAGGCAGTGACTACTTACCAGACGAAAGTGCATACAGAACTGAGTTTGTGGCATAATCGCCTGGGCCATCCATCGTCTCACATTACGGGGATTGTCTCAGGAGTTAGTGAGTCTAGTAGCAGTAGCGAGTCTTTGTTTAAGAGTTGTGACGTATGCCTTCGTGCCAAACAAACTCGACAGATTTTTCCTTTAAGTTCTAATAATGCAAAAGAGGTTTTTGATTTGATTCATGTTGATTTATGGGGACCATATCACACAACTGCATTTTGTGGCTCACGTTACTTCTTGGCCATAGTAGATGACCATTCTCGTGCTGTGTGGATTTATCTACTAACCGATAAAACTTTTGTCTCTCAACAGATACGAAATTTTCTTACAATGATTGAGTGACAATTCTCGCGAAAAATCAAGACGATACGAAGTGATAACGGCACTAAGTTTTTGTGTCTCTCATCGTTCTTCAGAGAACAAGGGATTGTGCATGAGACCTCATGCGTTTATACGCCGCAACAGAATGGGCGAGTAGAGTGCAAAGACCGTCATATCTTGAATGTTGCTCGGGCTCTTCGTTTCCAAGCTAGCCTGCCTATAGAATATTGGGGAGAATGTATTATTGCTGCAGGATATCTAATCAACAGGACTCCATCGGCTCTGCTTCAAAACAAAACTCCATTTGAACTGCTGTATGGCCATGCACCGGGTTACAAACACATACTAGTTCTTGGTTGTTTGGCGTACGCTCACAATCTGGATCATAAAGGTGACAAGTTTGCATCACGGAGTCGTCGATGCGTGTTTTTAGGCTACCCTTATGGCAAAAAGGGTTAGAGGTTGTTTGACTTAGAACGAGAAGTGGTATTTACGTCAAGAGACATTGTATTCCAGGAGAACGTGTTCCCGTTTACTGTGTCTGCTCCACTGAAAACTACAAATGAAAGCAATCTATCTTCGACTTTGCTACCTACTGCAGATGGGTCATCAAGTGCTGATGAATTTGGGTCTGATTCTGAGTCAGGCGTGACTGCGATTCAAGCTGTGGAACCTGAGCATGTACCTGATAACTCTATTTCAACGAATGTCCAGACACAAGCTTCAATAGAAACTCTGGACTCAGAACAACCGGTTGAGAACATTACTGATGCTATTGAGACTCAGACTGAGACTCAGAACATTATTGATAAAACTGAGACTCAGAACACTGAACAACTAGGACGTGGCTATCGTATCAAGACGAAACCAGATAAGCTCCGTGATTATGTTGTCGAAGCCATCTCAAGCTCTCGTCCCTCGTCCTCTCTCGTCTCCATCACACCTGCTCCTCAGCAATCCTCAGGTACGGTCTACCCCATTGCAAATAATGTTTCATGTGAACATTTTTCTACTAATCATCAACAGTTCATCATCGCTCTCTCTGCCACTGTTGAACTGAAGTCATTTAAGAATCAATGAATGATCCGCGGTGGGGGAACGCAGTACATCTTGAATACTCTTCTCGCTAAGCAAGTGAGACATGGCGCTTGGAAGATCTTCCGCCCGGTAAGAAAGCTCTTGGATGTAAGTGGGTCTTTACCATAAAATATCGAGCAGATGGAACGGTTGAGAGATTTAAAGCTCGTCTTGTAGTACTTGGCAATCACCAAGAAGAAGGTTTAGATTATGAGGAAAATTTTGCTCCAGTCGCCAAGATGAAGACTGTTTGTTTGTTCTTGGATCTGGCTGCTAAGTTGTATCATGAGGTTCACCAAATGGATGTTCACAATGCTTTTCTTCATGGAGATTTACATGAGGAAGTTTATATAAAAATTCCACCTGGTTTTCGTCCTGATGGTGAAACAAGAGTGTGTCGTCTTCAAAAATCTTTGTATGGATTGAAACAAGCGCCTAGATGTTGGTTTGCCAAGTTGGGAGATGCTTTACGGTCTTATGGCTTTACACAAACAAGATCTGATTACTCTCTGTTTGTGTATTTTAAAAACGGTGTGTCACTTAGGGTTCTCTTCTATGTTGACGATATTATTATTTCCGGGAGCGACGCCATTAAAACTTTCAAGGAATATTTGTCTTTGTGCTTCACATGAAAGATCTCGGCCTAGTTAAATATTTTCTAGGTTTGGAAGTTGCTCGGAGTCCAGCCGGAATCTATCTCTGTCAAAGAAAATATGCCAATGATATTGTTGAAGAAACTGGTTTACTTGGTTGTAAGCCTGCTGGATCATCGATCGATCAGAATCATCAGCTCAGTCTTGCGAATGGACCTCTCCTCACTGATTCAGGAAAATATCGACGCCTCATTGGACGTCTGATTTATCTTGCAGAAACTCGACCTGATTTAACGTATGCAATTCATACATTGTCTCAGTTTATGCATCAGCCAAGAGAAGAACATTGGTTGGCAGCTTTGAAAGTGGTTTGTTATTTAAAAGGCACAATGGGTCAGGGTATCCTTCTCCGTTCTGAGTCATCAAGACATGCGAGTGGGTGGTGTGATTCCGACTGGGATGTGTGTCCGTTAACTAGACAATCACTCTCAGGTTGGCTGGTTCAGTTGGGGTCATCACATATTGTTTGGAAAATTAAGAAACAGGACACTGTTTCTCGGTCATCAGCTGAGGCGGAATATCGAGCAATGGCAGAAGTTACTTCGGAACTTCTTTGGCTTAGGATGTTGTTGTACGAGCTTGGAATGGATCATGTCGGACCGATGTCATTATTATGTGATAGCAAACCAGCAATTCATATTAGCTCGAATCCTGTCTTTCATGAACGGACTAAACATGTTGAGCTTGATTGCCATTTTGTTCGTGACGACATACAAAGAGGATTCATCAAACCAGTACATG